TCATTTATTACCTTGGAAAACTTGCATCCTTAATTCTTATTGGGCCATCCTTATTTCCAAGATGAAAAAAGATGATTATTTTGTAGTTTTGTTGGTTTGGCGTGATTTAATTCGTATCAGACGCCTTGTTACATTGCTGGCTTATTCAAACTGGCCTATCCTATCACGTTTTTGGCTGTTCTCTGTTGCTCTGGTTTCATTCATCCATTCGTTTGTGTCCACTGTTTGAAAAAGTGGATGTTGTTTTTTTTTCTTTTTAATATTTTTTTGGATGTTTTTTTGTTTTCTTGCCATTCATATCACAACCATCTGCTGCCAGTTCACTACGGTGCATTCAAGGAACACACACAATGGAGGAAAAGTCAGATCTGCGACGATGTTTGCCAAGTGTCCGATCAGAAGACGGACTTTTTCCCGATACTCTTGTCCCCTCGTCGAGAACAAACCTGGAGTTGTGTTATGTTTCGTTAATCCGTCAATCCAAAGAGCTTCAGAAATGGTCACTTTAAATTTTGCCCGTTTTGTTGCGTCATAGATAAAACTACGATCTTGTCCCAGTGCAGTTTTTAAGCGTATAAACTATTGCCAGATCCATTCTACTGTCAAATTGTGTAGTTTATAAAGCACATTTTCCAATACACCTTATTAATTTATTAAGTAAGAGTGTTGAGTAGGGCTGGGTGTCAGGAAGAAGTTGTCGATACGATACGTTTTTCGATACAGTGCACTTTCGATTCAATTATATATATTTTGTAAGGCAACATCACTAAACCAGAATTAAACCTGGTCTAATACAAGTGAAAATAGGCCTGGCACACTCAGCTTTTAAAAAATTAAGTAACGTTTTGGCAAAAAAAGCCTTTGTCAGATATTTTTCTTGTTTTGGACCACAGTATGTAACAAACTGGGTCTAAACCAGGACTAAACCAGGTCTAAACCAGGTTTAAACTAGAACTAAACCAGGTTCTAAACTAGAACTAAACCAAGTCTAAACCAGGTTTAAACTAGAACTAAACCAGGTCTATACCAAGTTTAAACCAGGTTTAAACTAGAACTAAACCAGGTCTATACCAGGTTTAAACTAGAACTAAACCAGGTTCTAAACTAGAACTAAACCAAGTCTAAACCAGGTTTAAACTAGAACTAAGCCAGGTCTAAACCAGATCTAAACCAGGCCTAAGCCAGGTCTAAACTAGAACTAAACCAGGCCTAAACCAGGTCTAAACCAGGTCTAAACTAGAACTAAACCAGGCCTAAACCAGGTCTAAACTAGGACTAAACCAGGTCTATACCAGGTCTAAACTAGAACTAAACCAGGCTTAAACCAAGTCTAAACCAGGTGTAAACTAGAACTAAACCAGGTCTAAACCAGGTGTAAACTAGAACTAAACCAGGTGTAAACTAGAACTAAACCAGGTCTAAACTAGAACTAAACCAGGCCTAAACCAAGTCTAAACCAGGCCTAAACCAGGTGTAAACTAGAACTAAACCAGGTGTAAACTAGAACTAAACCAGGTCTAAACTAAGACTAAACAGGTTTACTGCTTTCTATAACAAAATACTGCAAAACTGAGTTAAGCATTTTGTCTGACCCTCCACAATATTTTCTGTTTCTTATGTGGCCCCATGGACAAAAAAATAAAAAAAAAAAGCCCACCCCTGGATTATACAGTGCAGTGAAAAACAAAGGTTAAGTCATGATTGTGATACTAAGTTTGTTCAAGCCTGTATGCGTTAAATGCAGGTGAGATACTGACACACAAGACTAGAGCGCCCTCTTGAGGCCGTGAACGTGAAAATAACAAATTTGAAATGATATATGTTAATATACAAGTCGCACCTGAGATTGAGTCGCAGGAAACACCAAAACCATGAACAAAAGTGCCACTTATAGTTCGAAAAACACAGTACTCAAAGATTTGAATGAAACAAAACACAACTCCAGGTCTGTTTTGCGAAATAAAACTGATGGTGTTTAGATCTCTGTTTACGACATCACATAGCCCGACTGTCATTACACCCTCGAGCAAGACACTTTACACTTATCTGAATGTCCGTTCAACACAAACAAATTAAAATGTTCGTTAAATCTCGCGTAATAAATCATAAATCCCGGCTCTGACTTTTCCTCCTCATCACTTTTCAATCTTCTCCATACTGTGAAAACGGCCAAACCTCATCCGCATCACAAACACTTCATTTTGCTTTAAGATTTTTTGACTTAGATTTTTTATTTTTTTTTTAGTTTTGTACCAAATTTGTTTTCAGACTGTTTCTTAATCGCTCCTGTTTTCTAGTCTTCTGTGAATCGATGCTATATCCACATATTGAGATGATCTTGTTGATTCAGATATATGCTAATATATTGGGCTATGGGGAGGATTCTGTTGCATGTTAAACGGTGGAGGGAGGGTTTAGTTTTAGTCAAATGTGAAAAATGTCTTCACTAAAACCACTATCACTCACAGGACGCATCCGCCCACAATAAAGCACTTTAAGTGTCACTCAACCGCGCCGTGCTTTTATTTGGGATTTACACATTAAAAGAGGGGGAACTGTAGAAAATCGACTTTTTGAAGTGTTCCACCGTGTTATAGACCACAGGTGTCAAACATACGGCCCGGGGGCTGGATCCGGCCCTCCAAGACCTTTAATGTGGCCCTCGGCTGATTTTCTACTAAAATATTTTAATTATATTTTCTATTAAAATCGTGTTAATTTTCTGTGGTGTTTATCACAGCAGCGTCTCCAGCGTCTCTGTACGTGGCCCCTCCCACCAGAGCAGCACAAATGAAGACTTGTCTCTTTCCAAACGCTCTTAAAGGACGATCGTTTTGACTGTTGACCGTGACACCCTCATCAACAAAATGTCAAAAATGAGAAAGGTCCTGGATTTTCCAAGAAAAATTGACTTATTCCTATTTGCATACAAGTTAATGTTAAAACATTTTGTTGAAATTGCTTTTTTTTTTTTTTCATAATATTATAATATTTTGTAAAAGAAAGCTTTCATCAATTAAATTAAGATTTCTGTAATAGATTTGTGTTTCTCTGCACAAATATTTGAACTTATTGCTGTTTTTGGGGTTTATGTGCCATGAGTTTTCTGATCCGGCCCCTTTAGGGTCAAAGTAGGCTGGATACGGCCCCCGGACCAAAATGAGTTTGACACCCCTGTTATAGACTCTTTTTTTCAAAACGGTCCTGCACTATAAGGTTGTGGAACTTCTGGTTAATGTTTTTTATGGCAAAATGTGTGTGTAAATGTCTGTGGTTTTCTCCAGCAGCTTCATAAATCTGCCCCATCAACAAATATTCAATCAACAAGGTCCACAAAGGATAAACATTCTAACATTTATCCACAACTGTAAAGGTAAGAAAGACAAAAACGTAAAGAAGAACGACGACACATTAGTGAACTATTGAGCTAAAGTTATTAGTGGGTAATACTGGTGAAGATGTAATGACTAAGGACCCGTTCACACTGGTACGTATTCGAGTCGTTTTTGTTGTGGATGCAGTGTTCATCCTCACTGGAGCCGTTTTCCATCGGATTAGAGACGGAACGATCTGGTGCCTCCAGCTCCCACAAATTCATCTGAGGACAGATCTGATCCGGCACCGCGTGGACTCCTGAAAACACTGATGTAGTTCTATGCGCCACGAAGTAATTCACCGTCAAAACGCTAAGAGGCTAGAATATCTGTCCATTCATATAAACGTGTGTCTGTGTGTACGACCTGCAGACATATAATCTCTGAAAAGTTTCACATGAACCATCTCCAACATGACAGAAACACAGAACAGACTCACCATCAGCAGAACATCCCTCTGTCACAGAAAGAACACTCATATTCCACTGAGTCGTGTCCTTTAGTCCCACAGAAGCTGAACCAACCACATCAGCGACACAAGGAACATGCTGTGTTTTGAGCGCTCCGTTTGTGCAAATGAGCCATGTGATTTTAAGTTTTGTTTCTGTAAAACGTGAACAAATGTGCACAAACCTGTGTGGATAGGCAAGGCTTGCAGACATAGAAACGACGTGTCTGGACACAGATCATTTCTGATACGGTGATTCGTTTTAGTGTAAACATAGTCTAAGGATGTAACAATAACTACACCTAATAAAAACGATCATGAACTTTGAGTAATGACTGAAAGGACATGATCGTGGATACAAGCTGTAGAAATGAGTGGCTGGGCGCTCCGTTAGAGATAGGATGAGGAGCTCAGTCACACAGGAAGAGCTCGGAGTAGAGCCGCTGCTCCTCTGCATCGAGAGGAGCAGCTGAGGCTCGGGCATCTGTGCCGGATGCCTCCTGGGCGTCTCCCTCGGGAGGTGTTCTGGGCATGTCCCACCAGGAGGAGGCCCCAGAGACGACCCAGGACACACTGGAGGGACGATGTCTCTGCACTGGCCTGGTAACGGCTTGGAGTCCCCCCCGGAGGAGCTGGAGGACGTGTCTGGGGTGAAGGAAGTCTGGGAGTCCCTGCTTAGACTGCTGCCCCGAGACCCAGTTAAGCATAAGAAAATAGATGGATGGTAACAATAACTCAAATATCATGATAAAGTTTCTCAATAACATTGTCACAATATATCGAATCACAAGTTTCTTTGCCTAAATTGATGGTTTTATAGTAGCAACAGTTGAAAAACATAGGGAACTACATGTCCCATGATTCATTTCAGTGCAGACAACATGAAGAAATATGTTTTTTACTTGAATTCTTGGGATTATGACAGAAAAAAAATCACCAAAATCTTGTCAAGGTATTTTAAAAGCAAAAATGTGTCCTATCTAGAATTATATTAGCCTCTACAAAATATTGTACCGTGTGATTTGGATATTGTTCCATCCCTAGAAGTAACTTTAAAAACACAGAGGCATTATTGGACAAAATGTGTTTATTGATTGAATATACAGTATAGAATCAGTTCAAGGCTAAAAGGATCATCTGTTTTATTCATTTGTATAATTCAGTTACACATTTACCTCAGACACAGTGAATTATTTTCTATTTTTATCAACAGTTATAACAATAATAATGGTCCTCTTACGGCATTATTACCATTAACACAGCAGGCAAGTCACATTTTCTCTTCTAAACATTAGAGACTGAGCTGAAAACTCAAAAACATGAATGTTGTTTTATAATATCTCTGTGTGTCAGATGCCCTCCCGCCCCCCGTAGTAGAAGTGGGCGGGGCAAATGTTTCTTTTATGAATGTGCAGATGTTGTTAGTGGGAGAATGGACCTTGTCGCCAATAGAAATGAGTGAAAACTTGTAGAAATGTTAGACAGATTGACCTCTAGCTCTAGTGTGCAGTGTGAGCTCTAGTGTGCAGTGTGAGCTCTAGTGTGCAGTGTGCTGTGTGCTGTGGTCACTGGGTGCAGGGGTGGGCCACTCTGCCGGTGAAGAGCAGGGCGTTGATGGTGGCCTCTCGGATGAGCACCAGGAAGGGCCGGTCCGCCATGAACACCTCTCTGTCAAATTTGATGGAGCGACCGATGGCCACGACCGCTGTGGCCGCTGCCGCCTCACTGCCCTCCTCATTCACCTGCACGCACACACACACACACACACACACACACACACACACACACACACACACACAGAGAGACACACAGAGGCTGTGTTCAGACTGCAGCCTGAAGTGACCCAAATCCGATTTTTTTGCTTCTATGTTCCTGTATCTGATCTTTTAATGAGTCTGAACCACACAGATCAGATTTTTTCAAATGTGACCCAGGACACTTGGATATGTGCTCCTGAAACCGATACATATCTGATCTTTTGACATGTGACTTCAGTCTGAACGGCCAAAGTGCATTCATCCACCTACACGTTATCAACAAGACACAAACGTCACTATTCTGCGCTGAAGTAGGCAAAAATTGTTAATGAACTCCGTGTCACTGAAGTGAAGCACATCTCCACTCACCACTCTTGGCTCCGTCTCCACATCCACACGTTCCTTTCAACGGACTGAACCACAAAACACCACGACCAAAAACCTCGTCCTTCTCCTTCTCAATCTCCTCCTTAAAACAAGTAAGTTGTTCATGTTCTGGCTCCGGTACGAGAGGAACTTTAAAATCTCCAGGTGCTCGATGCTGCGTCCATGTTTGGACAACTTCCGTAAACACAGAGACGCTCACTGCGGTTGACGTCGTCGTGTCTCCAGTGTCACATGTGGGACACTTTCGGGCCGTTTAATGTTCACACTGGAGTCACATACAAGTCACATTTAACTGGAAATGTGAACGACCTCGTAAAAACATCGGATTTCACAAAAAAATCGGAATTGAGCGTTAAACCCTGCAGTCTGAACGTAGCCAGAGACACACAGACACAAGCATCAGAACAGACACTAAACTGAAGTCTCACAAGTTTGCAATACATACATCCCAAATTTCAGATATACTGGGAAAGATCCTCCAAAAAAGTGAGCATCAAACCGCCGTGGTTGTTTTCCCAGTGGGAAGCGTCTATTGTCAAAGTCGATCTTTTCAAGTCTTTTGAACCTTATCACTTTTGTTTCTGGTTCTGATATTGTCATATTTTAGTTTTGGGGGGTCAGACATCGTAACTGTGTTTTTTTTGGATCCTAACAGTGGAAAACGGCTCGAGAAATGGGCTTCGGAAGTTTGTGAACTCCATAACTGCAAAGTGAATCAGATGTGTGTGACTCAAACCTCTGTTCAAACTGTTTCTCTTCCCAACGGAATTGAAAAATAGTGAAAGGTGAAGGTGACGCGCAGGATTGAACCACAGGAAGAACCAAAAAGGAAACATTTGTCTGCGTAAGAAATCATCCCGAGTTTGCAGAGAACATTTTGTATGTGGAGCGACAACAAAGCAAAATCCCGATCCCTCGCTCCACCTCGGTTACGAATTTAAAACGTCAACGTCAAAGCAAAAGGCACCAACTGTCCCTATTTTTCAGTTCCGTTGGGAAGGGAAACAGTTTGAACGGAGGTTTGCTGTCAAACATCTGATTCCCTTTTGCATTTATGGAGTTCGCAAACTTCCGAAGCCCATTTCTCGAGCCGTTTTCCGCTGTTAGGATCCAACAACCACACAATTACGATGTCTGACCCCCCAAAACTAAAATATGACAATATCAGAACCAGAAACAAAAGCGATATGGTTCAAAAGACTTGAAAAGATCGACTTTGACAATAGACACATCCCACTGGGAAAACAAACATGGCGGTTTGATGCTCACTTTTTCGGAGGATTCTGATGTGGTTTGTGTGGGACTGTGGTGAGACTCACCTCCAGGAAAGCTTTGTGATAGGCCTCTGAGATGAAGAGAGTGTCACTGCCGTCCTCCAGCATCCCTGAACACAACACCAAGCAGCAAAACAGGATACAGTTAAGGATTTATCTAGAACTCATTTTACTAGAGGACGGCGCTCTGTTACACCGACTACACTTACACCATCAGGAGGGAAAAAGGAACGAAGACTGGTCGATCTCATTTGTTGGTGGAGATATGAGCACCTGAGCTGGCAACCATTTTGTATACTGTGGCCAAAGCAAGAAAAATGATCTGACGAAGGCTTTTTGCTGAAATGTAATTTAAGACTAAAAAAAAAGCTTTTGGACATTGGCCAACGAAGTGTGCTATTTTGTTCACTTTTGGAGGCTGTCAGTCATGTGGAAGACCGGACTCTCACTTGGAAGACTGGACTCTCACCTGGAAGACCAGACTCTTACCTGGAAGACTGGACTCTCACACCTGGAAGACCGGACTCTCACACCTGGAAGACCGGACTCTCACCTGGAAGACCGGACTCTCACCAGGAAGACCGGACTCTCACCTGGAAGACCGGACTCTCACACCTGGAAGACCGGACTCTCACATCTAGAAGACCGGACTCTCACCAGGCAGACCGGACTCTCACTTGGAAGACTGGACTCTTTCCTGGCAGACCGACTTTCACCTGGAAGACTGGACTCTCACACCTGGAAGACTGGACTCTCACACCTGGACACTGGACTCTCACACCTGGAAGACTGGACTCTCACCTGGAAGACCGGACTCTCACCTGGAAGACCGGACTCTCACCTGGAAGACCGGACTCTCACCTGGAAGACCGGACTCTCACACCTGGAAGACCGGACTCTCACCTGGAGACCGACTCTCACCTGGGAGACTCTCACCTGGAAGACCGGACTCTCACACCTGGAAGACCGGACTCTCACCTGGAAGACTGGACTCTCACACCTGGAAGACCGGACTCTCACCTGGAAGACCGGACTCTCACACCTGGAAGACCGGACTCTCACCTGGAAGACCGGACTCTCACCTGGAAGACCGGACTCTCACCTGGAAGACTGGACTCTCACCTGGAAGACTGGACTCTCACACCTGGAAGACTGGACTCTCACACCTGGAAGACCGGACTCTCACATCTGGAAGACCGACTCTCACACCTGGAAGACCGGACTCTCACACCTGGAACACTGACTCTCACTGGAAGACCGGACTCTCACATCTGGAAGACCGGACTCTCACACCTGGAACACTGGACTCTCACTTGGAAGACTGGACTCTCACACCTGGAACACTGGACTCTCACACCTGGAAGATCGGACTCTCACACCTGGAAGACCAGACTCTCACCTGGAAGACCGGGCTCTCTCCTGGCAGACCGGACTTTTACCTGGAAGACTGGACTCTCACACTGGAACACTGGACTCTCACACCTGGAAGACCGGACTCTTACCTGGAAGACGGACTCTTATGTGGAAGACCGGACTCTCTCCTGGAAGACCAGACTCTCTCCTGGAAGACCGGACTCTCACACCTGGAAGACCGGACTCTCATAGTTGGAAGACCGGACTCTCACCTGGAAGACTGGACTCTTTCCTGGCAGATCGGACTTTCACCTGGAAACCGGACTCACACCTGGAAGACCGGACTCTCACACCTGGAACACTGGACTCTCACTCCTGGAAGACCGGACTCTCACACCTGGACACTGGACTCTCACACCTGGAAGACTGGACTCTCACTCCTGGAAGACCGGACTCTCACCTGGAAGACTGGACTCTCACACCTGGAAGACCGGACTCTCACACCTGGAAGACTGGACTCTCACACCTGGAAGACTGGACTCTCACACTGGAAGACTGGACTCTCACCTGGAAGACCGGACTCTCACCTGGAAGACCGGACTCTCTCCTGGAAGACCAGACTCTCACTTGGAAGACTGGACTCTCACCTGGCAGACCGGACTCTCACCTGGAAGACCGGACTCTCTCCTGGCAGACTGGACTCTCACACCTGAAAGACCGGACTCACACACCTGGAAGACCAGACTCTCACATCTGGAAGACCGGACTCTCGCCAGGCAGACCGGACACTCACCTGGAAGACTGGACTCTTTCCTGGCAGATCGGACTTTCACCTGGAAGACCGGACTCTCACTTCTGGAAGACCGGACTCTCTCCTGGAAGACTGGACTCTCACCTGGAAGACCGGACTCTCACCTGGCAGACCGGACTCTCTACCTGGAAGACCGGACTCTCTCCTGGCAGACTGGACTCTCACCTGGAAGACTGGACTCTCACTTGGAAGACCGGACTCTCACCTGGCAGACCGGACTCTCACCTGGCAGACCAGACTCTCGCCTGTCACTCTGGTCCTTCTCACCTGGCAGGCTGGCCCGCTCGGCGCTGAACAGGTCGCTGAGTCCCATAGCCTCCAGTTTGTCCTTCAGGCTGAACTGGTCCTCCACTTTGAACTTGGGCACGTGCACGGACACCGTCTTCTCCACCATCGAGTCCATCCACGAGGTCAGCGTCTTCAGGGTCAGACGCTCCTCGATCTGAGACAAACATCAACGAAGTCACAAAGTCTAATCTCGAACAAAGGCAAAACTCACCAAAGCCACGATAACAAAACAAATGACCAGAAAACTCAAGAATTAGTCTGTCGTGAGTTTTATTTGAGATGGTTTGATCAGTACTTAAATAGTGTGGACAGTCAATGTTTTACCGAGATTTTTTACTCGGATTTGAACCGCCACCGTTACGAGGTGGAAGGGTTTGAGTGCCCAAATGATCCCTCGAGCTACGTTGTTGAGGGACCAAGAGAGGTTCAGAAGCCCCTTATGATGAGTTCAATACAGAGGCCAGTGACGTCGCCCAGATTGGCGGTACCGGGGCCCCACCCTGGAGGTAGACGTGGGGTGGTAGCTCAATGTCGCCGGGCTCCCCCCCCCAGTCTGACCTCCTTTTGAATGATCATTTGTCTCTTTCACCTCTCTCTGATTGGTTAATTGTCTCGCTTACTTCTCTCTGATTGGTCACTTGTCTCTCTTACCTCTCTCTGATTGGTTAATTGTCTCTTTTACCTCTCTCTGATTGGTTAATTGTCTCGCTTACTTCTCTCTGATTGGTCACCAGTCTCTCTTTACCTCTCTGTGATTGGTTAATTGTCCCTCTTACCTCTCTGTGATTGGTCACCTCTCTCTTTTACCTCTCTCTGATTGGTCACCTGTCTCTTTTACCTCTCTCTGATTGGTCACTTGTCTCTCTTACCTCTCTCTGATTGGTCACCTGTCTCTCTTACCTCTCTCTGATTGGTCACCTGTCTCTTTTACCTCTCTCTGATTGGTCATCTGTCTCTTTTACCTCTCTCTGATTGGTCACTTGTCTCTTTTACCTCTCTGATTGGTCACCTGTCTCTTTTACCTCTCTCTGATTGGTCACCTGTCTCTTTTACCTCTCTCTGATTGGTCACCTGTCTCTTTTACCTCTTTCTGATTGGTCATCTGTCTCTTTTACCTCTCTCTGATTGGTCACTTGTCTCTTTTACCTCTCTCTGATTGGTCATCTGTCTCTTTACCTCTCTCTGATTGGTCACTTGTCTCTTTTACCTCTCTGATTGGTCACCTGTCTCTTTTACCTCTTTCTGATTGGTCATCTGTCTCTTTTACCTCTCTCTGATTGGTTAATTGTCTCTCTTTCCTCTCTCTGATTGGTTAATTGTCTCTCTTTCCTCTCTCTGATTGGTTAATTGTCTCTCTTACCTCTCTCTGATTGGTCACTTGTCTCTCTTACCTTTCTCTGATTGGTCACCTGTCTCTCTTTCCTCTCTCTGATTGGTTAATTGTCTCTCTTACCTTTCTCTGATTGGTTAATTGTCTCTCTTTCCTCTCTCTGATTGGTCACTTGTCTCTCTTACCTCTCTCTGATTGGTCACTTGTCTCTTTTACCTCTCTGTGATTGGTCACTAGTCTCTTTTACCTCTCTGTGATTGGTCACATGGCTCTCTTTCCTCTCTCTGATTGGTTAATTGTCTCTCTTACCTCTCTCTGATTGGTCACCTGTCTCTCTTACCTCTCTCTGATTGGTCACCTGTCTCTCTTACCTCTCTCTGATTGGTCATCTGTCTCTTTTACCTCTCTCTGATTGGTCACTTGTCTCTCTTTCCTCTCTCTGATTGGTCACCTGTCTCTCTTACCTCTCTCTGATTGGTCACCTGTCTCTTTTACCTCTCTCTGATTGGTCATCTGTCTCTTTTACCTCTCTCTGATTGGTCACTTGTCTCTTTTACCTCTCTGATTGGTCACTAGTCTCTTTTACCTCTCTCTGATTGGTCACATGGCTCTCTTTCCTCTCTCTGATTGGTTAATTGTCTCTCTTACCTCTCTGATTGGTCACTTGTCTCTCTTTCCTCTCTCTGATTGGTCACCTGTCTCTCTTTCCTCTCTCTGATTGGTCACTTGTCTCTTTTACCTCTCTCTGATTGGTCACCTGTCTCTCTTACCTCTCTCTGATTGGTCACCTGTCTCTCTTTCCTCTCTCTGATTGGTCACCTGTCTCTCTTTCCTCTCTCTGATTGGTCACTTGTCTCTTTTACCTCTCTCTGATTGATCACTTGTCTCTCTTTCCTCTCTCTGATTGGTCACTTGTCTCTTTTACCTCTCTCTGATTGGTCACCTGTCTCTCTTTCCTCTCTCTGATTGGTCACCTGTCTCTCTTTCCTCTCTCTGATTGGTTAATTGTCTCTCTTTCCTCTCTCTGATTGGTTAATTGTCTCTCTTTCCTCTCTCTGATTGGTCACTTGTCTCTCTTACCTTTCTCTGATTGGATAATTGTCTCTCTTTCCTCTCTCCGATTGGTTAATTGTCTCTCTTACTTCTCTCTGATTGGTCACTAGTCTCTCTTTTACCTCTCTCTGATTGGTCACTGGTCTCTTTTACCTCTCTCTGATTGGTCACCTGTCTCTTTTACCTCTCTCTGATTGGTCACTTGTCTCTCTTACCTCTCTCTGATTGGTTAATTGTCTCTCTTTCCTCTCTCTGATTGGTCACTTGTCTCTTTTACCTCTCTGATTGGTCACCTGTCTCTTTTACCTCTCTCTGATTGGTCACTTGTCTCTTTTACCTCTCTCTGATTGGTCACCTGTCTCTTTTACCTCTCTCTGATTGGTCACCTGTCTCTTTTACCTCTCTCTGATTGGTCACCTGTCTCTTTTACCTCTCTCTGATTGGTCACTTGTCTCTTTTACCTCTCTCTGATTGGTCACATGTCTCTTTTACCTCTCTCTGATTGGTTACCTGGGACAGAGGCGTGTCGCGGTACGGCAGGATGAGCACCATGGTGATATCGTCCCCCTTGTAGGGCATCTCGAGGATCTGCAGCTTCTGCTCGGGCATGTTTCTGTACTTGAACTGGGTCTCCTGGTACATCACCTGAACGGAGCAGGTCTGAGACGGCGACACGTGGAATTCTCCCTCAAACACTTGATCTTTGTCGAACATGTTCTTCCACTGGCCCTGGACGAGAAGAAAGCGACAAATCGATTTTAGAAATACATGGAAATAATCTTGTGAATGTTGTAACCTCGTCAAAAACAGACCTGGAGATTTAGAGTTTTTGTCTTTTGTTTCATTCACTTCGACTGAGACAAACTTTATCGATCCACAAGTGAAATTATTTGGACACAGGAGCTCAAACATCACAATAAAATACAATAACAAAGAGTAAAAAATATAAATGGTAATAATAAACTCTAAATAAGTATTAAAAAAAGAGCAAGAGCAGGTGTCAAATAAAGCATAACTATATAAATGTAAATGTATGAATCAAAATAAAATATAAAAATAAGTAATAAACAGTGTTGGGGAGTAACAGATTACATGGAGTTATGTAATCAGAGTACAAATTATGAGTAACTGTATTCAGTTACAGTTACTGTTTCAGTGAGTGGTAATTGGATTACAGTTACTTTGTTGAAATAAATGGATTACATGGTGGTATTTTCCTGTTTTCACATTTTATTTTTATTTATTTATTTATTTTTATTATTTATTTATTTTTTGGTAATTCCACTCATTGCTGGAAACTAAACCAGGACAAAAACCAGGTCTAAACTAGATCTAAACCAGGTCTAAACTAGATCTAAACCAGGACTAAAACCAAGTCTAAACTAGATCTAAACCAGGACTAAAACCAGGTCTAAGCTAGATCTAAACCAGATCTAAACCAGGACTAAAACCAGGACTAAACTAGATCTAAACCAGGTCTAAACTAGATCTAAACCAGGACTAAAACCAAGTCTAAACTAGATCTAAACCAGGACTAAAACCAGGTCTAAGCTAGATCTAAACCAGATCTAAACCAGGACTAAAACCAGGACTAAACTAGATCTAAACCAGGATTAAACCAGGACTAAAACCAGGTCTAAACCAGGACTAAACCAGGACTAAAACCAGGTCTAAACCAGGACTAAAACCAGGTCTAAACCAGGACTAAACCAGGACTAAACTAGATCTAAACCAGGACTAAACCAGGACTAAAACCAGGTCTAAACCAGGACTAAACCAGGACTAAAACCAGGTCTAAACTAGATCTAAACCAGGACTAAACCAGGACTAAACCAGGATTTAACAGGACTAAATCCTGCTGCGTGGACGTGTCTCCTCTTTTTCTATCAATAATATTTTTAATACAGTTACTATTTCCTCGTCTTTGCTTCTCTACAGCAAATCAAGTAATCCAAAGTATTCAGATTACATTACTCACTTTAAGTAATTTAATGGACTATGTTACAAACTACATTTTGGGGTATGTAATCTGTAATCTGTAGGGGATTACATTTTAAAAGTCTGTCAATAACATAAGTGGAGTTGTGTGTGTTTTTTTTTAACTTTTACTTCTTTACTTCTGTAGAAATAGTATCTGTATCTGCTGATGCACTGAGGAGTTTCTGTGAGGATAAAAATAGCTGCAAATCCAAACAATTCTAGGGCTGAAATGGTCCAAACGATTCTAGAGAAAGGTGTACGGAGTTAAAAAACACAGTGGAGCAGTTCCTGTATTACCACGTGACATCACAAGGTGGAACAGAGTGTTGAGAGAAGAACTCGGCCTAAATCTGCAGGGTTTGTGTGTTAAACAATGAAATAAAAAAACAACTCAAGGTTCACTTTTCACGATTTAACAACATTTTCTTTAAGATCTTTAAGAGTAATTTAATTTGAGAAAAAAGTATAAGGACTACAGATGCAACTATAACCGAAATATTCTGATATCGTATCGCCAGAAGTCTCACAGTAATATCGAGAGGTGTCGCGATATATCGAATTATAAGTTTCTTTGATTAAATCCATCGTTCTTTAGTAGGAACTAGGGACGGGCATTCGATGAAATTTTCTTAAAGGTTGTATAGAGGATTTTTTTTAAGGGAAGAGAAATACAGCGACAGTCCTTGTGCGCATTCAGAATTAGTGTTGAAGTTTCCTGTTTAGAAGTAATTCAGCGACCGACGCGTCAGTTTTTAGACCCTTCGCCTGCTTCGGTCGCGCCATCGCTGGACGAGATCTCCAAGAATCACCTCAGTTTGGCTTTGCTCCTTTTCCCCCTTCTCTTCTTCTTTCAGTGACCTCAAAAAACGGACTTTCTTTTGGGGCGAACCGGTCGTGGATTCTCGTCCGCCGTCACGACAAACTTTGTGTGAAATGCGAGGAAGCGACAGTTCGAAAAAGCCTCTAAGAATCTCTGCATAAACCACGTAATCCCCGCGCTCCGACGAATCAGTTACACTAGGGAGTTTGACTGACAACTCAACAGCCAATAGAAAATGAGGTAGCCTCGTTTTCTATTGGCTGATGTTTATCTGGCCTCAACACGTCCACAGTTGATAGATTTTCTTTTTTTTTTTTTTTTTTGGTCATCATAATTACAAAGCTGCTGCGTCTCTGTAATGATATTTTAATCTTTCACTGACAGTTTGAAACTAAAAAAAAATCCTCCATACAACCTTTAATCGATCGTCGAGAGAATTAACGATCGATTATCGATTAATCATTAACGTTTTTATATTAAAATGATCATCATTATTATTACTATCTGCACTACTAATCTGTATAAATAAATTCAACTTTACGACAAATAAACTGTAACGACTCTAGAGCCACATCAGCTGTTTGACATTATAATGTGTTTAATTCAGTTTTGTTCAACTCTCACAGAAACGAAACTTAAAAGCCGCATCGCTAATTTGCATAAACTAAGTGAAGATAAAACTCCAGCTCTTGTGTCGCTGATGTGGTTCAATTTCTGTCGGATTAAAAGACATGACTCAGGTGAATACAGGTTAGTGTGACCAGATTTGCGTTTGTCAAAACCAGGACAGCGTACGGGGGGAGGGGGCGGGGCCTCGTCATCCACATTGAGCGACTCTCACCTGGAAAAACTTTTTCCCACTGGACACAGAAACATATGTGCTGCTTTATACACTGTGCACATGGACTCACACTTGTCCCGAACTCAACAGAAAGTGTGGAATTTCTTGTACAAATCATCGTTAAATCCACATTTGTGCTTCGGTTCGTTACAGACTGACCCACTGTTTGTGTCTCGCTCCTTCTGATGCAGAGACACATGTACACACCTGTTTGGTCACACTACACACAGCAACCTACATTCGGTTTGTCGATTAAAATGAACGTAATCGATGAAATTCTTAATGATCAATTATCGATTAATCGACTAATCATGCCCATCCCTAGTAGGAACAGCTTATAAACATCGAGAACTACATCTCCCATGATTCATTTCAGCGCAAACATGAAGAAATATGTTTTTTTACTTGAATTCTTGGGATTACGACGGAAATAATTCACACCAAAATCTCGTCAAGGTGTTTTAAAAGCAAAAATCTAGAATTATACAAGCCACTCCAAAATATCGCAATAAATAACGTCCCTCATAACGACAGATTTGTGGTGTATTTCTTTTACATTTTGTCGTCCTTTAAGTTCGTTTCTACACGAGTCCTGGAGCTTCCACAGAGCCGTGCTGTCCTCTGGTTTTTACCTTGAAGTAGATGGTGTTGACCAGGACCAGGACGGTGGTGGAGTCCAGAACTCCCGGAGGCAAAGTGTGCCGAATGCGATTCTCCGTTTTATTGGAGATCCACTCGTTTATGGTCACACGAGAAGCTTCTGGGTTCTCCTGCAAGAACAACGAGACGATTATTACATCTGACCTCCTCCTCTGCTCCACTGCTCCATGTGACCTTCTCTCCTCCATCTGACCTTCTCTTCTCTATGTGACCTTCTCTTCTCCATCTGATTCTCTTCTCTGATCCATCTGACCTTCTCTTCACCTCCATTTGATTTTCTCCTCTACTCCATCTGATTCTCTCCTCTGATCCATCTGATCTTCTCCACTACTCCATCTGACCTCTCTTCTTCTCTCTCTGCTCCATCTGATCTCTCTCTCTCCATCTGACTCTCTCTCCATCTGACCTTCTCATCTCTTCTCCTCTCCATCTGACCTTCTTCTCTCTCCTCTGCTCCATCTGACCTTCTCCTCTGACTCTCCATCTGACCTTCTCCTTCTCTCTCCTTCTCCATCTGACCTTCTTCTCTTCTCCATCTGATCTTCTCTCCTCTGCTCCATCTGACTCTTCTCTTCTCTCTGCTCTCTGCTCCTCTGATTCTGACCTTCTCCTCTGCTCCATCTGACCCTCTTTGCTCCTCTGACCTTCTCCTCTAAACCAGGTCTAAACCAGCAACCAACCATCTCCACAAGTCGAGCTGCATGAGCCTGACTCTATAACCCGCCTGGCTGATGTTCTCGTAGGTCTAAACTGGGTCTAAACCGGGTCTAAACCAGGTCTAAACCCGGTCTATCCCAGGCCCACAGACCGGTCCTCACCTTGAAGTCGAGTGGCATGAGTCTGGCTCCGTAGACGGTCTCGGAGATGTTCTGGTAGGTCTCGTTGAAGGCCAGGCTCTTCTCTCCGAACAGCCTGTTGGCGGACACCAGCTCTGTGGTCTGGTCCTTCTTCCTGAAGAGACGACAGTTGAGTTTGGCGAAGAAGAAGTGCACCTGGTCTGAGGTCTTCTCTTTGATGGTGTCGAACTGAAACACCTGAAACACAATCGCACAAGATCATTAAACACGAATCTTCTAAACGAACATTTGTTTTAATCGAGCATCCTAATTCTTCGCCACGATTTATGAGTTTATGAGCACTTTCCACGACTCATATGTGTTAAAAAGAGTGACACATTTGCACCACAAAACCTCCGTCCTCTAAAAAGTCAGACCTCATAATCGCTTGGCACTATTTTCTCTCCGTACGTATCACTGCGCGCGGCCGCCAGGTGACAGCCACGCCTGTTTCACTTTGTTAACTGCTCGGAATATTCGCCTCTTCTCTCTCTCTGCCCGGTCTAACTGTCTCTGGCGAATTTCAGCATTGGTATATTCGGGTTCAAAAAGATCTCCCGTTGGCTCTTTACTAAAATCAGTTTCTTCATCATCGGTGTCGTAGTTAAACATGTTGTTGCTGACATTCCGAGCAGTTAACAAAGTGAAACATGCCGCCAGGTGACGGCCGCGCGCAGTGATACGTACGGAGAGAAAATAGCACCGAGCGATTATGATGTCTGAGTTTTTAGAGGACGGAGGTTTTGTGGTACAAATGTGTCACTCTTTTGAACACATATTGTTTTGAGAAGAAAAACGCTTTATTAGACTGTCCCCAGCACAACTTGCCGAACTACTTTAATCAGCACCAAAACCGGCCAGGATCTCGGCCATGGATCTATTAAAATAACTGGATACAGTATTGCTGCTTGTAGCTGCCTCGAGGTGACGTCAGTGGTTCTACAGTTGAAAAAATCCCATGGGCCGAGAAGATTTTTCTCATAAAGGCAATGTAATCACAACCTGCTCATGTTCGTCTGACAGGGACCTACAACTTTCAAAAACGTCGGATTTTGTGGCGATTTTTACCTATTTTTAGATCATGCACTTTTTCTCATCTCAAAATCCTTCAGTTGTCTTAACAAAAGCTTTATAATCATTAGCTTCGGATACGCTCTGCTTCACTCTAGCTCCTCTCGCTCTGATTGGTCAAAGGGATCACGTGATACATGAGCCTGCGCACCGTGCGTGCGTTCGCGTGCATTCGCGTGTGCCCGTGGGAGAAAAGAGCACTACTGCGCATGCTCGGTCGGCCCACAGCCACCGGAAGTACCTCGCCGGGCTAAAGGCTAATCTGGGATCATGCGCCATAGAGCTCGGCCCACTGACTTGAATGGGCGGCCATTTTGGAACCTGGGGGCTTGATCTCGACTCACCGGACGCTTTCGGAGGTAAAGTCAGTGTGGACGCACCGCACTGCTGACGGGGATGACGTACAGATTCATGTCAAAAAACCTGAACTATCTCTTTAATTTCTCAAAAGAAGGAATCCGCGGAGTAGAGAGACTTTCCCATAGCTCCAGCATGAAATGTGTCGCTCGATAACGTAAAACCAACGATAAAAAACAACGTAAAGGCGTTAGTCAAACTTTGTGTTCTTCTGACGTGTTCTTTGTTTTTTCGTGCTTCTCCTGAGTTTGTTTCTTGTGTTGCTGTAGCGCGTGATCATGTTGAGAGGATTTTGATCCGGGGCTGCGTTGCTTCTCAATGATTGGTTCCGCCATTCTTTATTTAGGCGACGTTATTTAAAGGTTGTATAGAGGATTGTTTAAGGGAAGAGAAATACAGCGACAGTTCTTTTTCAAATGTTGTGCATACGTGACACCACCTTCCTCCTCCACAGCTCCTCAGTAGAAACACCTCCTCCCGCCTCCTCACTCTAGAAATCACGTTTGTTTACAGCCAGTGCGCGTTCAGAATCACTGTTGAAGTGACCCGTCTAGAAATAATTTAGCGACCGACGCGTCAGCTTTAAGATCCTTCGTCTGCTTCAATCGCGCCATCGCTGGACGGAATCTCCAAGAATCACCTCAGTTTGGTTTTGCTCCTTTTCCCCTTCTCTTCGTCTTTCAGCGACCTCAAAAACTGACTTTCTTTTACGGCGAACCGGTCGTGGATTCTCGTCCGCCATCGCAACAAACTTTGTGTGAATTGCGAGGAAACTACAGTTTAAAGGTTGTATGGAGGATTTTTTTTTTGTTTCAAACTGTCAGTGAAAGATTAAAATACCATTACAGAGACGCAGCAGCTTTGTAATTATGATGACCAAAAAAAAAAAAAAAAGAAAATCCATCAACTGTGGACATGTTGAGGCCAGATAAACATCAGCCAATAGAAAACGAGGCTCCCTCATTTTCTATTGGCTGTTGAGTTGTCAGTCAAACTCCCTAGTATAACTGACTCGTCGGAGCGCGGGGATTACGTGGTTTACGCAGCAGTTCTAAGAGGCTTTTTCGAACTGTCGCTTCCTGTCGCATTTCACACAAAGTTTGTCGAGACGGCGGACGAGAATCCACAACCGGTTCGCCCCAAAAGAAAGTCCGTTTTTTGAGGTCACTGAAAGAAGAAGAGAAGGGGAAAAGGAGCAAAGCCAAACTGAGGTGATTCTTGGAGATCTCGTCCAGCGATGGCGCGACCGAAGCAGGCGAAGGGTCTAAAAACTGACTCGTCGGTCGCTGAATTACTTCTAGACAGGAAACTTCAACACTAATTCTGAATGCGCACAAGGACTGTCGCTGTATTTCTCTTCCCTTAAAAAAATCCTCTATACAACCTTTAAAAAAGCCTCTAAGAACCGCTGCATAAACCACATAATTCCCGCGCTCAGGCGAGTCAGTTACACTAGAAACGTAGGGAGCTTGATTGACAACCTCACAGCCAATAGAAAAAGAGGGAGCCTCGTTTTCTATTGGCTGATGTTTATCTGGCCTCAACACGTCCACAGTTGATACATTTTCATTCTTTTTTTTTTTTTTTTGGTCATCATAATTACAAGGCTGCTGCGTCTCTGTAATGGTATTTCAAACTTTCACTGCCAATTTGAAACTTTAAAAAAATCCTCCATTTATCCAAATAATAATAAAGGTTGACAAATTAAACTTTTGAGGAGAAATGATACGGAGAAGTTACACTGCACAAATTTTAAGACCCAGATCTAAAAATTCAAGGCGTTTTCGAGTCTTTTTAAGGTCTTATTTCCATGTTGTGAGTAAGATTCCCCGGTCACCTTCATGATCTGCTGCAGGGTCTGGTTGCAGGCGCCCAGCTTGGTCATGGCGAAGGCCGTGGAGACGCTGACGGGCGACATGAAGATGTTTTCTGTGGCGGAGCGGCTGGAGCTCAGCTGTTTGTACAGGGACAGAGCGAAGGCCCCGTTGGCCCGGGAAAGCTCCCAAACTCTGGGGTTTGTGTTCTCCGGGACCGGATCTGAGGTGGGAGGAGCTGCGGAGAGAGGAGAGAGGACTGAACCAGGACTGAACCGGGACTAAAACAGGACTAAAACAGGACTAAAACAGGACTAAAAGCAGGACTAAAGAAGGACTAAACGGGACTGAACCGGGACTGAAACAGGACTAAAACAGGACTAAAGCAGGACTAAAGAAGGACTAAACCAGGACTGAACCAGGACTAAAACAGGACTAAAACAGGACTAAAAAGGACTAAACAGGACTAAAGCAGGACTAAAGAAGGACTAAAAGGACTAAAGAAGGACTAAAGCAGGACTAAAAGCAGGACTAAAGCAGGACTAAAAGGACTAAGAAGGACTAAAGAAGGACTAAAGCAGGACTAAAAGGAAAAGGACTAAAGGCAGGACTAAAACAGGACTAAAAGCAGGACTAAAGAAGGACTAAAGAAAGGACTAAAGGACTAAAGCAGGACTAAAGAAGGACTAAAAGGACAGGACTAAAAGCAGGACTAAAGCAGGACTAAAAGAAAGACTAAAAAGGACTAAAGGCAGGACAAAAGACTAAAGGAGACTAAAGACTAAAAGGACTAAAGCAGGACTAAAGAAGGACTAAAAGGACTAAAGCAGGACTAAAGGAAAAGGACTAAAGAAGGACTAAAAGGACTAAAGAAGGACTAAAGAAGGACTAAAAGGACTAAAGCTAAAGAAGGACTAAAGGAAGGACTAAAGAAAGGACTTAAAGCAGGACTAAAGCAGGACTAAAGAAGGACTAAAAGAAGGACTAAAGCAGGACTAAAAGCAGGACTAAAGAAGGACTAAAGCAAGGACTAAAGCAGGACTAAAACAGGACTAAAGCAGGACTAAAGAAGGACTAAAGCAGGACTAAAGAAGGACTAAAGCAGGACTAAAAAGGACTAAAAGCAGGACTAAAGCAGGACTAAAGAAGGACTAAAGAAGGACTAAAACAGGACTAAAAGGACTAAAGAAGGACTAAAGCAGGACTAAAGAGGACTAAAGCAGGACTAAAAAGGACTAAAGAAGGACTAAAGAAGGACTAAAGAAGGACTAAAGAAGGACTAAAGAAGGACTAAAGCAGGACTAAAGAAGGACTAAAGCAGGACTAAAGAAGGACTAAAACAGGACTAAAGAAGGACTAAAGGACTAAAGCAGGACTAAAGCAGGACTAAAGAAGGACTAAAGAAGGACTAAAGCAGGACTCAGGACTAAAAGGACAAGGACTAAAGAAGGACTAAAGCAGGAAGGACTAAAGAAGGACTAAAAGACTAAAAGGACTAAAGCAGGACTAAAACAGGACTAAAAGAAGGACTAAAGCAGGACTAAAGAAGGACTAAGAAGGACTAAAACAGGACTAAAGCAGGACTAAAAAGGCAGGACTAAAGAGGACTAAAAAGGAAAACAGGACTAACAGGACTAAAGAAGGACTAAAAGACTAAAGCAGGACTAAAGAAGGACTAAAGGAAGGACTAAAAAGGACTAAAAAGAAGGACTAAAAGCAGGACTAAAGGACTAAAAGGACTAAAACAGGACTAAAGGCAAAGAAGGACTAAAGAAGGACTAAAACAGGACTAAAGCAGGACTAAAAGAAGGACTAAAGCAGGACTAAAAAGGACAGGACTAAAGAAGGACTGAAAAGCAGGACTAAAGACTAAAAGGACTAAAGGAAGGACTAAAGAAAGGACTAAAGAAGGACTAAAGAAGGACTAAAAAGGACAGGACTAAAGCAGGACTAAGCAGGACTAAAGAAGGACTAAAGCAGGACTAAAAGCAGGACTAAAAAGAAGGACTAAAAGCAGGACTAAAACAGGACTAAAGAAGGACTAAAGAAGGACTAAAAGCAGGACTAAAAACAGGACTAAAGAAGAAGGACTAAGAAGGACTAAAGCAGGACTAAAAAGGACTAAAGCAGACAGGACTAAAGCAGGAACTAAAGAAGGACTAAGCAGGAAGGACTAAAGCAGGACTAAAGCAGGACTAAAGAAGGACTAAAGCAGGACTAAAGCAGGACTAAAGAAGGACTAAAAAACAGGACTAAAAAGGACTAAAAGGACTAAACAGGACTGGAAAAGCAGGACTAAAACAGGACTAAAAGCAGGACTAAAGAAGGACTAAAAGACTAACAGGACTAAAGCAGGACTAAAGAAGGACTAGGGAAAAGGACTAAAGCAGGACTAAAGGAAGGACTAGGAAAAGGACTAAAGCAGGACTAAAGCAGGACTAAAGAAGGACTAAAGAAGGACTAAAACAGGACTAAAGCAGGACTAAAGCAGGACTAAAACAGGACTAAAGCAGGACTAAAGCAGGACTAAAGAAGGACTAAAGCAGGACTAAAGCAGGACTAAACAGGACTAAAGCAGGACTAAAGAAGGACTAAAGCAGGACTAAAAAGGACTAGCAGGACTAAAGAAGGACTAAAGGCAGGACTAAAGCAGGACTAAAGACTAAAGCAGGACTAAAGAAGGAAAAAGCAGGACTAAAACAGGACTAAAGCAGGACTAAAAGCAGGACTAAAAGCAGGACTAAAGCAGGACTAAAGAAGGACTAAAGCAGGACTAAAGAAGGACTAAAACAGGACTAAAGCAGGACTAAAGCAGGACTAAAGAAGGACTAAAGAAGCAGGACTAAAGCAGGACTAAAGAAGGACTAAAGAAGGACTAAAGAAGGACTAAAGCAGGACTAAAGCAGGACAGGACTAAAGGACTAAAAGCAGGACTAAAACAGGACTAAAAGGACTAAAGCAGGACTAAAAGCAAGGACTAAAGCAGGACTAAAGCAGGACTAAAGGCAGGACTAAAGCAGGACTAAAGAAGGACTAAAGAAGGACTAAAGAAGGACTAAAGGACTAAAGACTAAAGAACTAAACAGGACTAAAGCAGGACTAAAGGACTAAAGGACTAAAGGACTAAAAGGACTAAAGCAGGACTAAAGCAGGACTAAAGCAGGACTAAAGAAGGACTAAAGAAGACTAAAGCAGACTAAAAGGGACTAAAGAAGGACTAAAGCAGGACTAAAGCAGGACTAAAAAGGACTAAGCAGGACTAAAAGCAGGACTAAAGAAGGACTAAAAAAGACAGGACTAAAGCAGGACTAGGAAAGCAAAGAAGGACTAAAGAAGGACTAAAGCAGGACTAAAACAGGACTAAGAAGGAGAAGGACAAAGCAGGACTAAAGCAGGACTAAAGAAGGACTAAAAGAGGAGGAAAAGCAGGACTAAAAGGACTAAAGCAGGACTAAAAGCAGGACTAAAGAAAGGACTAAAGCAGGACTAAAAGCAGGACTAAAGCAGGACTAAAAGACTAAAGAAGGACTAAAGAAGGACTAAAGAAGGACTAAAGAAGGACTAAAGCAGGACTAAAAGCAGGACTAAAAGGACTAAAGCAGGACTAAAAGACAGGACAGGACTAAAGCAGGACTAAAGACAGGACTAAAGCAGGACTAAAGAGCAGGACTAAAGCAGGACTAAAGAAGGACTAAAGCAGGACTAAAAAGGACAGGACTAAAGCAGGACTAGGACTAAAGCAGGACTAAAGCAGGACTAAAGCAGGACTAAAAGCAGGACTAAAAAGCAGGACTAAAAGGCTAAGGAACAGGACTAAAGCAGGACTAAAGAAGGACTAAAGAAGGACAGGACTAGGAAAACAGGACTAAAGCAGGACTAAAGGCAGGACTAAAGCAGGACTAAAGAAAGACTAAAAAGGACTAAAGCAGGACTAAAGCAGGACTAAAGCAGGACTAAAGAAGGACTAAAGAAGGACTAAAGCAGGACTAAAGAACAGGACTAAAGCAGGACTACTAAAGCAGGACTAAAGAAGGACTAAAGCAGGACTAAAGCAGGACTAAAACAGGACTAAAGAAGGACAGGACTAAAGCAGGACTAAAGCAGGACTAAAGCAGGACTAAAGAAGGACTAAAGCAGGACTAAAGGACTAAAGAAGGACTAAAAGCAGGACTAAAGAAGGACTAAAGCAGGACTAAAGCAGGACTAAAAAAGGACCAAAGCAGGACTAAAAAGGACTAAAAGCAGGACTAAGCAGGACTAAAAGACTAAAGCAGCAAGGACTAAAGCAGGACTAAAAAGGACTAAAAGGACTAAAGCAGGGACTAAAGAAGGACTAAAGAAGGACTAAAGAAGGACTAAAGAAGGACTAAAGCAGGACTAAAGCAGGACTAAAAAGGACTAAAGCAGGACTAAAAAGGACTAAAGCAGGACTAAAGCAGGACTAAAGCAGGACTAAAGAAGGACTAAAGCAGGACTAAAGCAGGACTAAAGAAGGACTAAAGAAGGACTAAAGCAGGACTAAAGAAGGACTAAAGAAGGACTAAAACAGGACTAAAGCAGGACTAAAGCAGGACTAAAAAGAGCAAGAAAAGTAGGGATGAACAAGGTTAAAACAACAAAAACAAAGACTAAACTGGGACTACAAGAGAGTTGGTTTAGTCCAGTTGAACCTGGACTAAACCAGGACTAAAACAGGACAAAAACAGAACAAAAAAAACGATCAAACAAGGACTAAACCAGGACTAAACTGTGACGAGAGAAAACTTGAGATGAACAAGGTCAAAACAATAGAAACAAAGACTAAACTGGGATTACAAGAGACTGAGATGAACCTGGACTAAAACAAGACTAAAACAGGACTAAACCAGGACCAAATAAGGACTAAAGCAGGACTAAATTAGGACTAAACTCTGGAGAGAGAAAACTTGAGATGAACAAGGTCAAAACAACAACAAAAAAAGATGAACAAGGGCCAAACAACAAAAAACAAAGACTAAACTGGGATTACAAGAGACCAGGGTGAACCTGGAGTAAAGCAGGACTAAAACAGGACTAGAGCAGAACTAAACCAGGACTAAACCAGGACTAAACCAGGATTAAACCAGGACTAAACCAGGACTAGAGCAGAACTAAACCAGGACTAAACCAGGACTAAACCAGGATTAAACCAGGGACTAAACCAGGAAACTAAACCAGGACTAAGGACCAGAACTAAAGCACAAA